AAAACAGTTGCTTTAATTCATGTTGTTCTTTTCTGTGACGAAAAAAAAAAAAAAAACCAGCAAGGAAGCAGACAGAAAGCCAGAGGATTTTGGTTTGAGAATGAAGTCCCTGCCAGCATCCCCTGCTTTTGCCTGGCAGTCTAGAAAACAAACAAGCTGTCCCAACCAGAATAAACAAGACCAGGGCAAACAGAATTACAGTGCTCATGCTAGACAGAGGCTGGCAGCTTTCTAAATTATCATTTCTAAATACTGTGTAAACACTGGGAGCATTTAAACTTTACACGCAATTGCCAAATTAAATTGAGAAAAAAAGCTGCATGCTATATGCTTGTTTTTTGTCATGTCCTAATCTAATTGGGGTAAACAGAAAAACCATTAGAAAACTTTTGTCAAACTGACAAGAGCAGCTGTAACTGACAAATGAGGCCTCATATGATGGCAAACAAAAGTATCATTTTGGCTCTTAGTAAAAACAACAAGAACTTGGCACTGAACCAAAGTTGTCCTTTTAATAAATACCGTCAAAACACTGAGGAAAAATGATCTGATATGTACAGCCAAACAGACTCTTAATGTAAGTGCATGGGTGTGAATGCTTTAGGAATTCCAATCTCAGAAAATGCACCGTTCTTAAGTGCGAAAGAAGCAAAGCCAAGAGCACAGCGCAGGTACAAGCTGGCATCTTCAGCGTCAAAACCACTGTAACAGAGCTGCAAAAGCAGAGGACCTCAGAGGAACATGTCTTCTTAGATTTGTGTACTCCTTCACTCTGATTTATTCTTTTATCACCCGCTTGGTGACAGATTTATTGCCTCTGTGAAGCCTTAGATTTGCATGCAGCTTATGTTCAGCAGAGATGTAGCTTTGCAGGGGACAGGCAATTTCATTTACATTTACACAAATAAGTCTGGTTTCAGGCCTTGGTTACTTGTCTTTGCCCAAGGACACAGTGTCCACAGATAACATTTGACCCTCATTTGAATACTATTAAAATTCTTTTTTCTAATCCTGCATTTGAAATTCAAATTTGACAGCCAAGAGTATTTTAAGGGCAGGTGATGCATTGAAATTATTTCAGAAAAGTTTTTTGAAACTTGTGACTTTTAGAGTCAACAACTTTAATAAGCCTTAAAATACCTACCTACGTACCTCTTTACCTACCTTCAAATCACTACTCAAAACACACCTGTTTAACCTGGCCTATCAACCATAATCCCAATCACAATTCTCAGCTAACTTTTCATGTTGTCTGTGTCTTTCCTTTCCTTGTAAAGTGTCTTTGAGTGCAGGGTTCGACAAATCCTATTGCCCGACTGCCTGGGGCAGGTAAAACCCATATTTGGGCAGGTAAACAATTTCTTTATCTTTTCATAGGACCATTTATTCGAAATATTCTGAAAATAAATGAAGAAATATAGCGCTTTAAAACATGTAAAGAGAGAATAAATCCTAAAATCCCCCTCTCCCGCTGTAGAAAAGTTACATCATGCAGCGTGTTGTGGGACCATTTCCTCCTCCCTCCCGCTGCACGTTGCGCACAGRGAAGCTTTAGCAACCGTAGTTCTTTTCACACCCGTGTTTTCGGAGAAAAAAAAAAGTTTTTTTATACATTGTTACCCACAGAGATGATTAAAAAAAGATGGTGATGTTCATTCAGTCATAAATCCATCTTGCTAATGTCGGCTTTTGGTGAAGATGAGAGCGTAGCAGCAGCGGGRCAGTTCAGCAGGCAGAAGCTCATGGTATGGCAGGCTGATATAACATTTATTTGGCTTCACCACATTTATATTCTAGTTATCTGAAATTGTTTTATGACTAAATTAGACATGTTAGTTATTTAGGATACAATAATAAAATGTTTTCTTTTATTATTTTGTTTTACTTACTTTTTTTTAAACTTGGAGATCTTTCCAGCTTGAGCTTGTTTGTTTGATGAAGTTGATTTTTGAGAATGGGGCACATATGATAAGAGTTTTTTTCTTCACTCTGCACTCTTTTAATTCAGGGTAGTATTTACTTTGTTTTTTAATGCTGTATAAAGATGGTTTCATTTTTTTTATGAATGACAGAAACAAACAAATAAATAAACATCTCTTAATATATTTTGACAAGGCAAAATACCTATTTAAGCTATCTCTAATTATATTCTGACTAGTATAAATAACATTAGATTTATCATTAAGTTGTATGGAGACTCCAGTTCAAGATATCTTAAATGTATCTTTAGATATGAGATAGGCTATACAGTATAAGATTATTTTAATGCAAATTGTAGACTTTTTCATGTTCTGTAATTTGTATTTAAAACAAAGCTGCTGCTGTTGATCATTTTGTTTTCATAAGCCTCGCCCCCAAGGTCAGTACTCTAGGGAAAACACTGGAAAGGTCTAAAAGGTTTTTGAAGATGTTCTTGATAATACAATTGACTGTTAGTAACTCAGTCTAAAATGTTTGCATCTGTTTAATCAGATGTCACATGTTATATACCTCTGTATAACCATGTTAATATTTTTTTAGTACAAAGTACAGTACACATTTTTCTTATTTCATCAAAATTTGAACATTCTTGTTTCAGGAC